ATCACCAAATTAAATTTTGTTGAAAATTGCACGGGTTTTATAAGTGGATAAAAAAATAAATGATGCTTAACGATAGACTCATGCTTCAGAGAAATAGAAGGCTACTTCCTCAAAATAATTTAGAAGGTTCATAAATTTATTATTTCGTTTAAATATGAATACTGCATTTTGATTTATTCTTTATTTATTAAAAATATTGTATATCGTTATTAAAAAATAAAACAAAAACTATTTATTTTGATTTATATATATGTATTGTTCTACATACCACTTCCACTACAATAATAATAATAATAATTAAATAATTTGTTTGCAAAAAATATATTAAAATATATATATATAAGGCGATCGTCCCAAATCTCTAACTTAGAAATCTGGTCACCTTACGAATACTCGCCCAGTGTGCTACCGTTACACCACGAAGGCAAGCAGAAAGGAGGGAGAAAATACTTATGCTCTTCGCATTGTCTGTTATGACCCTAAGATCAACCTCTTTGGTTAGGCGGCGCCCACTTCTGGTACCTTATGCCTTTGAGAACTGAATTCTGTTAAATGTTCTTATTATGAAAGCTATCAAATAAATTTTAAAGCGCTCATGTCAAATGGTTACACCGAAATTATATGAAATTTAATCAAATAGTACTTTGTGTTTCATTGATTTAAATTTTTATATGAAAAGACTGCATTTAGAAAAGAAATTTGTACGAAAGTTATAAAGATAATTCAACCGTTTGATTTTGTAATTAAGGCCCACATGATTCTTTTATTTATGATATAAAATTGTAGAAAAATTATTTAACGAGACTTATTTAATCTTTTTTTCTTATTTAATCATTTATGTGAAAAATTATTTTCCGTTTCTTTGGTTCATTAGTTGTTTTATTAATTTTAAACAAAAGGGTATTTATAAAACTTGCATCCATGATTTTGTTATTTTGTACTCTTTCAAAAATTTTTTTTATCCTCCACTGAAAATTTAAGTATGTTATCTATGATAAAAAATTTATATATTTATTATTAGATTATTTTGGACGGTATGTTAACATAATCTCCATTTCAAATAGTGCATTTATTAATTCAGAAGTCAAACAACAAAAATCAGCGTTACATTTTCAAAATTTTCACAGGACTAGTTTCGATGGTTTTACCGAACCACCATCCTCAGCTGCTAAACCGCAAATGAACAAGATAGGAAATAATGATTAGATAAGATAAGAAAGCCTGGATAAGACTAAGCAAGTGGCGCCATCTGTTGGTGAAACCAGAACTAAAACATAATTTCTTTAAAGGCCGAAGGCAAAGATGGATTGGAATTAGGATCGTTAACTAGAACAGAAAGATTTTTTTCAATGTGAAATGCCTCTAGAAAATCCAGTTCTCCAATGGAAGATCTTTCTTGAATAATTTTGCCAGCAGAAAAATTGAAAGTGTAATTTTCGGACCAACAATGTTGAGCAACAGAAGACTTCTGTGTTTCCTCTTTTCTAACATATGCCTCATGTTCCTTCACGGGAAATTTTAAGGCTCTCTTAGTTTGGCCAATGTAAATCAAACCACACTGGCAAGGAATCGTATAAATACCCCAAGAATTCATATCCAGAATGGGGTCCTTGAGTATGGAACTCGGAATTTTATTGATGGGAGAATAAACAAGCCGAAAGTTAAATTTCTGAGAAATATGTGCAACTTTATAGCTAATTGATGGAAAGAAGGGAATGACAACAGAATTTTTATAATCTCCCAAAACAAGAGTGTGCCTTTTAGTGTGTGAGATGAGAATTTTTTAACTGCTTGATTAATAATGTTGGGTGAAAAACCCCTGTCAATAGCTATTGCTTTTAAATAATATAGTTCTTCATCAAGGGCTCGTTTGGAGGAGCAAACTTGAAGAGCACGGAAAACATAGGAATAAAATGTAGCTAACTTTTGTTTAGTCGGATGACATGATTTAAAGTGTGGTCAATCAATAAAATTCCGAGTTCCATACTCAAGAAATCATATCCCATTCCGGATATGAATTCTTGGGGTATATATAGGATTCCTTGAGTGTGGTTTGATTTACATTGGCCAAACTAGGAGAGCCTTAAAATTTTGTGTCAAGGAACATGAGGCATATGTTAGAAAAAAGGAAACACAGAAGTCTTCTGTTGCTCAACATTGTTGGTCCGAAAATTACACTTTCAATTTTTCTGCTGCCAAAATTATTCAAAAAACATCTTCCATTGGAGAACTGGATTTTCTAGAGGCATTTTACATTGAAAAAAATCTTTCTGTTCTAGTTAACGATCCTAATTCCAATCCAAATTTACCTTCGGCCTTTAAAGAAATTATGTTTTAGTTCTGGTTTCACCAACAGATGGCGCCACTTGCTTATTCTTGTCCATGCTTTCTTATCTTATCTAATCATTATTTCCTCTCTTGTTCATTTGCGGTTTTGCAGCTGAGGATGGTGGTTCGGTAAAACCATCGTAACTAGTCCTGTGAAAATTTTGAAAATGTAACGCTGATTTTTGTTGTTTGACTCCTGAATTAGTATTTATTCGGCGTGTTATTGTATCTTAGTGCATTTATTGCTACACTCTTTTCAAACTCAGTCTTAACATCATATAACATGAGTAAAACACTTCATATTATACATGATTATATGTTTAATGACACGGAAGTTTTGCATTTCTAAGTATCCATCTTCATTAATACTGTAGTCAGTTGAATCATTTTGTTTCAGTAAAATTTAGATTCTGCTTAAATGCGATCTCCTTTCAACATGTTATGTCTAAAGTGTTTGTCGACCATGCTTGTGGTGTACGTATTATGCTGTTATTATCTTTACTAATGCTATTGCGCAACATTGAACATCTTCATACCGGGAAGAAAATAGTTCGCTGTATCTCTGGTTTCACGAAGCTCGTAAAATCATCCAGAATTCATTTACGTCACATTACGCAAAAGAGCAACCTTAATCTGGCGTAGATTTTCAATAAAACTCTCGGTGATACATTTTTAAATTGACACATTTTTAAAGCGCATTATTCGCCATTAACCATCTCAATGGGTCTTAAACATGTGTACGAAAAATGAGCAATTCTATGATAATTTTAATAAGTTTGTACGATATTTATTGATAACCATTACTCCAATATTACTTGTAGTACTTTTTGTAGTTCTCACTGACTTCAAAAAAGCCTTCGGTAAAACTACTACTTGATAGAGAAGCTATGTCCCCTAAACTCCCCATCGAATTTTATAACACGAATGATATTATTCGCTGAATAACAGCGATTCCTTTACTTGAAACATTTGCCTCGAAATGTTTAGTTGAGGTCGAAGTCTTAAACCATTCAAGTAAGCTTTTTTAGTTTTGTCACTATATTACTGATACGATAAAGTTTGATTGTACAGCAATTAATAAATCAGATTTCTAATAAATCGTCAGATAAACGAGTTCAAGCCGCTGTTCTAGATCGACGTAACAAAACTTGATTTTGATCACATAACTTTGTGCACACTTCAAATGCTCTATTATACATAGAATGCATTTATTACTTCCGAAAGCTTCGGTATCAGAGTTTATGTTTACTTTATTTTTGTGCGCTCAGTCCTTCACGAGTTTCCAGTGTACCCCATAATGTCTCCCAGGTGCTTAAATTTACGATTGCATTACGCATACGCACACAAGTCTACTCATCTGACGGTTTTGTTTTTTTAGTGTGGGAATGATATTACAAAACATCACATTCTAGTCGATTTTGAATTGGCTGAATTTTGAAAAAAAATTTTTTCAGCTTTTATTTCTAAGAAATATTATTCTGATGCTATTCTTGAAGAGTAGAAATCAATTTGTCTTACAGACGGAGCTAAGATGAATGATAAGTTTGGCCTTGCCTTTGTTTTCTTTTTAAAAGGAACGGTAAAGAGATTAAAAAAATAGTACATAATTAATGGTAAGTGTTTTGTTTTGCTGACTGAGTTGCTATGCTAAACCTTGCTCTGAAATAGAATAAGAGTTCTTTTAGTGATTTGAGAGTAATGCGCATTTTAATATGTAGTGATTCTCTTTTTTCACTATAATTGTTAAAGAAAATTAGTGTTTCAGAGAAATCGTGCTCGTTTCTTTGTGCTCATGGACACTGTGGAAATTTTGGGGAGGAGAGAATTGTTGCTCTAGCAAAGCTATCCATGAAGCATCACATCGATATAAATCTCCGTGTTCCTGTTTCTCCCCGGAAGCACTTTTATAGAATTGATGCTATCTGTATTTGGAATAGAGAACATCTGGCCTCATCCAAAGCACAATGAACCAAAAGTGGTTACAATTGTTCGACATGAAATTTTTAAAAGATATTTAAAGCGATCTGGACTTGCTCCGAGTGCTTTGTGCAGTTGCGGTAGCGGCGCTGACAATGTAACGCATATTCTTCTTGAGTGCGTTCAACATCTCCAGCAAAGGAATATATTTCAGGCAATTTTGATGTGCTTGTTTGTACCTTGGACCCCAATTTTTTCTGAACATTTTTGGACTAAAGAGAAAATTTATGCTTTTCGAAATTTTGTTTTCAATTTAGATTACTGAGTTCTCTTTTATTTTTCTTTTGCTTATTTATTATCTTTATACTTTTTTTAAATAATTTTTCACCATTTGTAGTGCTATTGTATGTTTGTGTATATATTTTTCTAGAGCTGTGATATACTTGTGTAAACCTCGTTGTATACTTTGTCGAATACGATCAGTTAAAAATTAGAGCTAACGAATAACAAAACAAAAAAGTTTTAGTTTATTTTCATGGTGCTCACTCCATTCCTCTTACTCTTGCGTTCACCTCTAATGCTTTAATAAATCATCTGCGGGAAAATTTTGACCGTAGCGATAAACGCTAAGCGAGAAACGTATTATTCATATTTGGAAAAAGAAGTGTTTATAATTTTTAGTGTTATTTATTGGAAGTTAACCTCTGACGTATGCAATCCAATTAATTATCATAAGATTAAATTTGTTTACTTACATCTAAGTTTGAGGAAGATATCATCTCTCAGTTTAGAATGGACTGAAATATCTGATCTGTGTTGTTTAGGAAAGGCATGGTTATTCAACCAGCCACCACAGGCGAACTGGTAAAAGTCATTGCAAGGGTCAGCAGAAACATTCAAATTGTTAGCGATGTCTGTAGCTGAAATATAAACAAATATCGTTGGTGTGTGCTATTCTGTATTTTACTAATAATGGATATATTTGATTTCATATTAATTAAATGGTTTATTTGGCATTTCTAAATTTCATTGTCACTTGAAAATACGTTGATTAGATATTGTTCGCAAGAGCATTTCGATAACATTGAAAAGGAAATTTGATACTGCAATAGCTGCAACTACTTCATAAAATATATTACCGAACTAAAATAAATATTTTGCAGGTTATGAAATGAATGAGAGACTTTATAATAACATTTAACTGCTTAATATTGTAATTCTAAACATGTTATGTATAGCGTAAGTTTTAATTTAATTTAGAATTCTGTCTATTCTTCTTTCCCAAGTATTAAGTTTTCAGAATGTTAGTCAGAATGGTTTTTTTCCTCCGATTGCTGATGTAGTAGCGTGTTTATTTTTCAACTGCTTAGGCAGTCATTTTAGTTTTTATCTTAGCTACAGAAATATAGAAGAAAATCTTTCAACTCTACTGGTGTTTTATAGTAGTTTTAATATTTATTCAGACATATTTAGTATTATTTTCTTTGATCAAAAATCCGTTCATTCTTCAAATTTACTAATAGTTCAATGATATAAGAAAACTTTAGCTATTTTTAAAAAGGGGCATAATAACTGCGAGTATAATTTACATATAGTTTATGCGAACGTTTTAGTTGTAAGAAGAAATTATTTTGTCGAAATCATTACGTTGAAAACGGTAAATATCTTAGCCAAAAACTATTTTTTTAAAAGAAGCAAACAAGAACAAAGAAAAACCTGATCAGTTTTAAAATGTGGATAAAAATGTTTTAAAAAAATCATTTTAGTTCTACTATATTTCTTGTTTTACATCATTTCTCTAGAAATAAATTCGTTCGTTTTTTGTCGGAATTCAGGAATAGATCAAAACTAAACGATGATATTTAAAAACGGTTTAAAACAAAGTTAATAAGTAAGATTAATTTCGCATTTTTAGTCACATGTTATTTCTACATGTTTGCTGCAATAATCTTAAAGCTCACTGAAAAATAGCTAACCTTTTTCTTGGACAATTTATTGTTATTATTTTGTTTTTAACAAAATTTAAACGATGAATCTATTTCTTTCTGTTTTAAAATGCTCAAAACGAGTTATAAAATATTCTTTTAAACTCGATTAAGAATCCACGAAGTTTCGTTTTCTAACAGCAGTTAATGAAGCAATAAAGCCAGAAATTGTAGCGAAGTAGCTGATTTCGGTGATGCTTCATTCTGATGCAAAATCGCGCTCTTGCGAATATCGAAACTGAAACACAAACTGCACCGTGTCCTCACAAATAAAAAAATACCTTAAAGTGTAAATGAAAGCAATGTACATGTATTTTCTTTCATGTAAGAAAAGATAAGTGAAATTTGAACATCACCTGCTTTGATACATTCAGGTGTCAAGCAGACGTCGACATCTAAGGCATTCAAGGAAGACATTAGATGGTCTATGTCATTTTGATGATTAATAGGTTTCTCGAAATCTGGAAGAAAACACATTACTCAGTTTTAAAATATATCACAAAAGATTTGCGTACAGATAGTATTAATAATATATAAATATACTGCAAAGTATTACTACAATGTCACTTTCTAAGCGTTGAAGGACTTCAGAATTCCATCAAAATTTGTTAGGCTTACATTCTTATGATTTTTCTTACTTGCGAGACAGATGTACGTAATACCTTTGGTAATAATTTACACATATAGTTGGCCTTGTTACTATTTATGTTGTAATAAAATTAAAATAATCTAGATTATAAGTTTTTAATATAACTGAATGTTTTAGGAGAATGACTCAACAATCTGTTGTCTTTTGAAGACTGAGACTGAAGAAATTTCTTCAGAGAGATGGAATAAAGGAATATCAAAAATAAAATAAAATATATTGTCTTTATTCAGTACCTAATGAAAGTTCCTCTCTTTTCAGCGAAGGCGAGGAAACGGGATTTAATTATGAGTTACTTTGTAAGTATTTCACCTTAAATCAAGATAACAAAACTCACATTCACTTAGTGTTCAAGAACTAACAACGCTTTGCATCATCGAAGATGTCACTAGCCTGTTTGTACCTAAGAGCACATTTTAGAATATCAGTGGGGGGCGAAAACACTTATATTTCAAAGTAAATTTATAGGTTCATATAATTAATAATATATCCAAAAATATTATTTTCAGATATAAAAAATTATTGAGTATATTCTTTAAAATAATTAATTCCTAAATAATGCAAACAAAAATTTACAAACCATTTGGTTTATAATTCTTTGGTATAAAAATGTTTCATAAAATTGTAAATCGCCAAATCAATGTGATATTTAACATTGCATTTCACAGGTGCTTTCTTCATAATTAAGAAAGCATAATGATATTTCGGTTCGTAAGCAATCATCAAGATCTTCCCACTGTAAGTCGAGATCTGTACTTTGATTTTGTGATATTTGTTGTTAAAAGCAATGGTATTTGATATTTTTTCAATTTTTAATAAATAAGTGGGTCAAAATGACAAATTGTCCACAATCCCGAGCAAACCGGGAAGTTTAGTAAGCCTAATTTAAAATGATAAACACATAACTATAAACGAATGTTTTAAAAATAAATACACTTGTATTTCTCTAATTAATGACGAACTATAAAGAATTTTACATGACCTTTTACTGAAAACGAAAGTAATTTTTACCGTGGTCGTACAACAGCGCGCATACGTAAAACCGTTCGCTGCCGCAACGGTCCTGCTTGCGTAGAGTTGGAGATTATTGTAAAAATTAATGTCAAATTAGGTGTTTTCTGTTCGTAGGAATATATGGAGGTACAAAAAGATACAAGGTACTTAGGTACAAGAAGAAGAGCTATTCATTTTCTCATAAATGTAATATATTATTTAAAAAAGATTGCTTCATGTCAAGAGACGAGTAACAAACTTCTTACAAGACTCCCTACCCCCCAAAAAATCTGAATATTCACCTTTATTGACCCATTCAGCTTTCAAACAAACGTCGGAGTTAGAAGAGACTTCGTGGCGTGATACTAAACTATCTGTGTTGGCTCTCTCCTGTATACCTGTATCAGGGTCTAGAAGAAAATACATCATTTACTTTATAATTATGCAACAAAATATTTACGTGCGAATACAGACATTAGTATGTCATATGATACGTACCTAAAGATATTATAGCATAGCATAGCATATAATACATGTATAAATACATACACATAATATATGCATAAATATATTTCTCATAGAAGATATAATACCTTCTGGGTAATACCTTTAGTGCCTAAGAAGCTTTATTTGAAAGAGAAATAGCAAAGCAGAAACTCTGCAGTGTAATTTATCCCGCCTTACGTTTTTTATGGCGTTAATTTTGATTTTACTGGTAGGTTAAATTTCAGGCATTGTGGATAATTACTCATATCTTCCTAGGTAACAGACAGTAATCCATAAGTAATCTAATTCCTCAATCCTTCTAATTAATGATCAAATTTAGTAATAAATTCGCCAATCATTCTAAATTATGATAACCATATACCTACGGCATATACTGATCATATATATACTGTATGATATCAAATATATACTGATGTAAATCATATAGTATATCATATATATACTATAGAATACTAAATATATACTGATATAAATCATGTAGTATATCAATATATACTATATGATTTACATCACTATATACCTACGGTATATAGTAGTATATACTACGGTATATACTACATGATATGTACCGTAGGGTAAATATGATCAATATATACCTACGGTATATACTGATCATATAATATATTATATACCCACGGTATATGCTGATCATTATTTAGAAATATTGAATGTAATGTGTTTCCGTGCTGTACATGGTATTCGAGAGAAGTGGTTATATGCCTTATTTCCTGATATATTTATCTCAGACTTATATTTTCAGTTATATAATATCTCAAAATAAGGTAGGTAAATGTATTAAAAACAAAATTAATTCTGTAGTTAGCTGCTTTTGTACATGTATAAAGGCCATTTGTATGTAATAGATGTTAAAAAATTTTATTTATTCATTCATTCATTACTATTTTTTAATTAAATGGAAAGTATTCCATAATTTAACTTACGAAATTCACTGAGATATGTGTGATTCAAAATTTTAAGAAATAGCTAAATTTAATATCAGTGTTGTTTGGGCCGGTATGAATCAATTGCTAAACTGAGCGACTTTTGGTTTGTATTAGCTGTTTAAATTTGAGAAATATTAAACTCTAGTCGGAAATGAAAAGTGATTGAAATCACTAAATTCAATCTCAAATACTTCCATAGATTTTTCAGGTAGAGGTATTAAACATTCTCTGTTTAACAAATGAAATTATAATTTGTATTATGCTGCGTTTGAAGTTTTTGTTCTATTTCTAACATACATAAAGCCAGATATTATATTTGGAGGATTTGCCTGTCCTAAATATTAAAATTGTTTTTCCTGTATATGCTCATTTTATTTTTGGAAATTTTGTAACTGAAAATCATGCTCGGAAATACAGGGTTATTCAAAAAGAAAGAGCAGATTTCAAACATTTATTTCTTCTGAACTTCAAAAGATAGAAACGTGATTCTAAAGTTAATTTATAGAGAAAAGTTTACAATTATGGTATTCATTCAATGTATGCATTCAATAACTGCAGTTTGTATGGCTTCATGTGTAGACGATGTTTTAGAACTCGCCATACCGTTGGTTGAGGAATTTTAAGTTCTTTGTTGGCACGCGATGTAGATTTCTTTGGGCTCCTTTCGTAAAGTGTACGAATACGCTCGACATTCTCTTTCGATGTGCGTGGACGTCCCGTGCTTTTCTCTTTGCAGATGCAACCATCTTCTACGAATGTTCGATGCCACTCGCAAATTTGCTTATGACGCGGTGGTTGTTTATTAAATTGACGGCGAAATGCTCGCTGAACTGCAACAATGGACTCTAGTTTTGCCAATTGTAAAACACAAAAAGACTTCTTGTGTGGTGTCGCCGCCATTTCACTATAGACTACCAACCGACAAATAATATCAGACCAAACAACAGCGCCAATGTGGCCATGATTGGAACTTTTACCCGTACTAAATTGTACACTTTTCTCTATCCATTAACGTTAGAATCATGTTTCTATCTTTTGTACTTTGGAAGAAATATATGTTTGCAATCTGCTCTTTCTTTTTGAATAATACTGTATTATAGATTGAATAATATTTAATAGAATTAAATCTCCAGTTATTTTTTTGAACACAAAAGAATTTAAATCATTTTATTTAAGTCACTTAAATACAGAAATATTATAAGGTACTTTCTCCTTTCTTTCTGCGTGCTTTTGTGGTGTAATTAGCACATTCAACACGCATTCGAGAGATCCGAGGATCGAGTCCCGGGAAAGTCTTTGCAAATTTGTCACGTCTGTAGCTTCAAATAACCTAATTTCTCTATAATGTTAATGAACATTTTTTAAATTTTATTGGGATTTAATTCCCATTTCATTTTATAAATTGAGTAGAAACAATATTGTGATTATCTATTGCTACTTTTAAGGAACAGAAAAAGTGTTGAATTAATACGGTGAATTTTCTTTTCAGGTCGATTTTATGAAACTATCCTTACATTATGCATTTTTTACTTGATATAATAATTTTAAACTTTTTTAACAAAACTTTTTTAAACAAAAATACATAAATTGTTTAGTAGAGTTGTAGAGACATTAGGTTATTTCGAAGCAGAAGAGATGACAAATGAGCAACGCCCTCGCCGGGACTCGAACCACGGACGTCTCGAATACGCATCGAGCGTGCTGACCACTTCACCATGTAGGCATGCTAAGAAGGCGGAAAAAATACCTTATAGAGTTACTAAATTTTTTATCTACACCAAAATCAAGTCTTTTAAGTATGAATAACAAAGTGCGTATAATTTATTTAACCTTAGACTGCCATTACTATTGAAGTGCTTTGTTCAATGTTATCTTAAAATTTCGATTCGGTTTATTTTCCAGACTAATAGTTTTGAAGTTAATTTTTATGTCAAATGTTTTACTACAACTGTAATAATATGAAATACTTTATATCGCATTTATACGTAATTTATATGCTAACAAGATTTTTTGTAAAATACTTTTTACCTTAAATAACACTAACAGAAACATTTCTTATCCAGCATCTTTGCTTTTATGACATCTCGTAGTTTGTTTAAAAATATTCTGCTATTTTCGACTTCAGTAATTCTGTTATTAATTATACCAATAGGTAATAGGAACACGTTGCCATAGTTCAATAAAGAAATAAACAATAATAACAATAACGACTTTATGATATAAGTTGTTCCAAACACTTCTTCTTTAAGTAGATTTTAACGTTAAAATAATTTTACTCTTCATGAATTCGGATGGCATCAGTTCAGACGATATGTAAGATAGTGGTGAAAGTTGTCGAAATGCGCTTGACATTGTGATTAATCTGACATAATTTGGGACATCACATACTTCGGCTAATGCCTCTCATATTTTGACAGCTTTTGCTCTTTATTCTTATTTCTAACGAAGAAATTATTTATTTCTAAAGCCTTAGGATTTCTAAATCTCTAAAAGTGCAAACATCTGCTGCATAGACTCAGGGGAATACGATTTATAAAGTTTTACCTTCGTTATAAGTCAGAAAGAAATAGTTGCGTTTTATTTGTTTTATGATGTTTCAACAAATATGGATGAAGATGTCAAAATTTATTTGACATGAAAGTACATTATGGTGTTTCTTTGAAAATCACCTTTATTATTGCAATCCAAATGCCTTCAGAATGAATGCATATTCAGTTTTGTATTTAACATGATCCTGCATACCATTCTCAAGTAATGTAATCCTTTTTAAAACTTTAAGTTAAATATTAGAGGAAAGATCGACTGAATTTACATATATAAAATTTAAGACATTTAGAATGTAATGAAAATTTGTTTTTGTAGATTAAACGTGTGGGAAAATTTTGTCGTGATAATAATTTTTGAAAATATTTCAGATTTCATTTTAATTTACTACTGCTGTTAAAAATCAGTGTCCTTTAGATTTATTTTTGGAAGATAAACTTACTTATTACTTTTTGGAAGATAATATTACTAATCTGTTATGTCAACATATACATTACATTTTTATATAAGGTGTCTCATAAGTATTTGTGTAGACTAACGGAGAAGCAGGCTATAGCAAACGTACCGAGAACTGCACAGCAACCTATGATCGGAAACGTCATGGTAAAGTGGTATCAGAGATACAACAAATAAAGGAACACAACACAGAGATTACCAAAAGTATTTATCGTTTATAAATATTACAATTGCTGTAGTAGATGATATCATTTCAAAATGTCACAAATATACTCAAACCCATAAAAACCCACGGACATAAAAAGCCACACAGACGGACCATGGAATGGAACGCGCGATCAGAAACATCTAGATATACTTGGATATCTGCAGTAGCACAGACGATTCTGGAAACACATTCATTTCAAACTCGACAGGTGCTTCATATACAATAGCTTTATGTACTTCCCAAAGAAAGAGATTCGGGATGCTCAAATGCGGAGTCAGCAACCGGTCCGCCACACTCAATTCATTGTTCCTAATACGACACACTTAAATGTCTCTGAAGATATTTTCTTTGATGGGGAAGCGTCACATCATGTGAAAATCACATGTCGAGTCTCACATTTTTTAACACAAGGGTACGTAAGCCTATGGGAGAATCTGTTCCATAAAGATAAACTAATTTAAAATTAATAACACATCAGACTTGAGTTTGGCAAGGTGATTGCAATAGGTGAGGCCCGACTAAGCAGCCACAGACCAAATCAGTCCGCACATTCACCAAGATGCAATGCTGGACATCATGCGGTCTCACTCCGTAGGGGCTCATGTGAGCTCATAAATGTACACTGCATTGGTTAAACACCGTCTCATGTAAAATACGCCTCATCACTAAACAAAACATAAGATGAGAAACTTTGGGAATAAAAAGCACATTTGCAGGATGATGTGGTGGGAGCAGTGACTGCACTCTTTGGAGATAATGAATATAAGGATTCGGCTTGCAAAATACGATATATGTGGTCCTCCTACAGCAGCATAAAAGCCACGTATGCTGGTACTCGGATTCCTTTCTACACTATTCAACACATTATTATGTTCCAGTTCCATGGAAGGCGTACGAGTCGCTCTTTAGTTTGCCCGCGATTTTCCTACTACCTCTTAAGGATAGACAACTTAAGGTGCATTCAGGCAAACTGTGATGCACATTCGAAAACAAGCGGTTATCTGATATATCTCTTTGTGGGAAAAGATCTCGATACAACCATTGTGCTGTTAGTGCATTGCCGTCAGCTAAATCATACTCGTCACCAGCCTGCTATTTGTGTAATGTTTCGTACTCTTCTTAAAGAGACTGGTACTCGAATGGAAAAATCATTTTCCTGCAGTTCTCTCGTGAACATTTCACCTAGCGACGTACAGTGACGTTTACGGTGAGTTGCTACTCAGTTTTCAATCATTTTGGAGGGCCCTACCTGTCTTTAACTTTATACCAATATTTATATGACAGACAGTATAGTAGTAATATTTATATATACGAATAATTCTCAAGTCATTTATATAAAATAGTTTCCCATATCGGTTTCAGATACAGGTTGATCCGTAATATTAAAAAAAATTAATTAAAATAAGACTGAAAATTCTGCTCAAAATAATTGTGCGGGATACAATTCTCTTATAAAAGTTAAAAGTTTTTATGAGCCAATAAGCAGCTGTCTAAATTTTGCCACTTTCGGAATAATTTAAGTCTCGCTTCTTAAAACAAAATAAAAATAAATTTAAGAAAGATTTTTAACAGTCGCTTAAAATTTTTTTAAAGCTTTTTACGCTCTCTTTGATCTTGTATTCTATAATTCTGCTGTTTTAGATTTATTTATATCATTTTAGTATATTATTTTTGTTATGTCTTTTAATTACTTTATTTTTATTATTTACTTTTATTTTTTTGTTTTATTTGATTTTTGTATGCTTTCCGTGAATTTGCATTCTATTTTTTCAATCTTTTTCTCAGTTTATCATATCAATGTTCAGTTTTCTTATGAAACTTTTTTGTTGTCGTTTTGTCATCTTATTTTTATTATTTACTTGTATTTTTTTATGTTGTCCCTGAGATCGGAGTCTACTAGTCTGCTTTAGCACTCATTCCTGCTAATCCATCTTTTATGTCTTTCTAGCTTTAATATTAATTATCGTTTTCTCCTCATTTACGCCATATTCAATTCAACAGCAAAATCTCAAATATTTTAGAAACAACGTAGCAGCATATGTTTAGAATTTCTGATGTCGTTTAAGTATTGACTTGCATTTTATATATTTTTTCCAGTCTTTTTTCAATTCATCATATCAATGTTCAGTTTTCTTAGCAGGATGTCTTACAAAATTTTTGTCCATTTATTATTAACGTTTTGTGTGTTAACTTTATTTAATAAATATCCCGTTCTTTGCATTTAACATATAAAATTCAATTCGACAACAAAATCCTGAAATATCTAAAAACAACATATCTTTTGAATTTGCGACAGTCTCTCTTGGAGATAAAAAATGTTTCATATCGTACAGCGCTGGTTTTCATATCGTTGAGTTTGCTAATCGAAATTTATTAAAGCTTTACAAAACATGAACTAAATAATAAAATAAAAAGAAATATATAACGCAGTTCTGTGAAAATATTCAATATTTTAATTAGATACATCATGAATTAAATGCACTTTTAAGTGTAAAAAACGAATATTCTTAGGAATTCCATCTTTTGCTCTCAAATAGCTTAGTTTGTTAATCCACAACAGACATATTTAATTTGAAAGATTAATTTGATCTTACATTTAGTGGAATAGAAGCAGACTCAGATCAAAAGTGAAAAGAGGCATTTATAGTGATTCGACGATAAACCTCGTTTTGAGACTAATAGCCAATTTTGGCCTAAACATTGGAAAAATTTTTCATATTTAAACACTCACGAAACTATTTCTCCTCAAAAGATGGAAATTGTGCTGTTTTGGTTCATAAATATATTGTTGTTCACAATATGGACTCTAAGACTAAAAGTGAATTTGGAAGCACAATAAATCTCGAAACCAGAAAACAAATCCCCCAAATATTTATATTACAATTTTATATTACGCCCAAAGGGGCGTTTTTATAACGTTTTGTGTGCTGCTTTTATTTATTAAATATCATGTTCTTCGCATCTAAACCATAAAATTCAATTCAATAGCAATATCGCAAAATAATTTTTAAATTAGCATATCTTTAGAATTTCCGATACACAGTCATTGGAGATAAAAATGTTTTTTTCCCTTAAAGTGTTGCCATTGCTCGCTTCTAAAGCATTGAATCTGCTAATCAAAATTTCGTTAAAGGTTTACAAAACATAAAAAAGTAATAAAACAAATTAAAATTTCAAAATTAGGGTTCTTCCAAGTACTATATTCGGGTGGAAGGACTACGTTATGTCAAAATTTGATGGCTCTAGGTACCGTTGTTTTATCACAATGCGAGAAACATGCATACATTTATGCAGATTCTTTATTATTTAATTTCCTTAAATATAACACAGGGAGATAATATTCGGTGGCAACAATTTGAAAAGTGAACCGACATTTATAGTGAAACAACGCAGTATGCCGAAACGAAATTATTAGCCATTCTGAGCTAACGCTCTTTGGGCTAATAACAAATTAAAATAAATAACAATTATTGAAGAAATCTACATAAATTCAAAAGAAATATTGAATTATAAAATCAATTTTTAGTTTCTAATTATTTTTATTTATTTATTTATTTATGAACTAAGATAAAATTACGAATGTCTTAAAATTCCCCCCTCCCAACCTTTTACCTCAAGTAAAAGAAAAAAAAAAGCAAAAGAAGAAAAGCAAAAACTTTTGGCAAGATTAAATTTTAATTAATAGCAAATATGGTAGTAAGGGAAATGGCATGAAGGAAATTATACGTAAAAATAATTATTAAAAATATGTTTACAAAAGAAAATTACAAATGTTTACAAAGTATTTAATACTTCACAAAATTAGACAATAGGCAGCGTTAGTTTTATAAGAACAAAAAATTTATGACTAGGTATGTTTTGATACGTCATCATTAATTTTTTTTCGAAGAAGGATTAATGTCAGACTCTTTTAAATGTTTAACGGTTTTCTAGAAATACCCCGGTGTTGAAATGTTTTATATAATTTAAGGTTTATCTTGAAATTTCAAGCTGATATGATGGTCTTGCATAAATTAAAGCGACAAATTCATTTTAACATATCACATTTTCTTGAACATTACTGTCAATATATTCTCTGATCATATTTGAGCAAAATTTCCTCCTTAACGCATGTGAAGCAGACCACCACATACGGAAAATCAAGCGGTGTTTTCATTCATGAAGCTATACACAGTCCTAAACATTTCAGTAAAAGATTATAAAAGCAAATTTTATGTTATCAGTTTTTGCTTGGTACTAATTAGCAATAGTTTGAAATTCATGGCAGCTTCTGTAGATAAGTACATACTGATATTTTCTGTGATTAAAATTATAAATCCGATATTTGTTATTTTTACCTTGGTTTTCATATAGCGTGACAAGTCTGTAAATTTATAGGCATAAATCAGACACTTTGGATGGCACAGCTAATAACTGAATGTATAGTCACAGATTTTTTGAAAGTAATCTTATTGTATTAATTTAAAATTAATATTTTCATTTATCAAATAACCTTTTTCACTTACTTAAAGTTCTGCTTGAGAATGGTACCGTGCAAAGAAGATGCTGTACAACGGCGAAGAATTTTGCAACATGCATTCTTAACTTACGGCTTTGCAATTCTGTCGTTTTACTTGACTATGGAGAAAGTATATCAGAACTGCAAAGAGTGCCGAATAGATTTAAGAGAATAATAAATTTTTTGTCTCACGAATAATAAAATTTGTTGCCTTTTTGCCAAGTTGACGGCAAGCAAAAAAGTGGAGTACCTATGTATTATTTCAACTCCACTTTTGCATTGAATGCATGCCACGTAATTCAGTCTCACGTTAACACATTTATATGTCAGGGAAGAGTTTGATGGAAAATATATGGGACAACTGAACATTGTTCGACTCAGGTCAGACAAAAAAATGACGTTCGTCAGACATCTCTTATTTACAAGAAACGCAGGTTTGTTAAGTACAAATGCATTGTCCAAGTAAAACAGGTATGAATTGACACATTGCATCAATCCAGATGTTTGTGATTGAATGAACACATGTTGAGAACATGAAACAACATTTATCTCTGTACTTTGATCTTTATATGGGACGTTTGTGTTTATGAAACGAATCAAAAGAGTCATTCGTAAAATTTATAGTGTCTATGAATGTTAGAAACAAAACACTGGTCTGTAAAACCAGAAAAATATTTTAAGAGCAGAAAATGTGTTTCTAAGTATCAGAAGCTTTTATATTACTGTTAAGTATATTGTTGTGTTCGTACGGGTTTGTAATAGATTGAATGCTCACAGCTCCGATGATGGATTGATAAATTTATTTTATTGAAAGAAACACGTCAGAGTTCTGGAACTTTCTACAAAAATAGTCGTATCACCCAGAATCAATAGTTACACTTCAAACTACAAAGGACGCTAAACACAACGCAACTAAAGAGCGAATCTAACAAGGAGATATCTTAGTACTCCGACTCACGCTGAATTAACAACTAACTGGAACAACTGAAAGCAGATCCTCTCTCTGGTCTTTTATAGTTTTCACCCGGCAGCCGAGTTATTTGTAGTAATTAATGCATTTCGAAATTATTTTAAGACATATGAGTACCGAATTACGGTTACAGCTACATAGAGCATGAATTACAGTTTTTCAGCTACACTATCCATTACAGTTATACAGGGACCGGATCAAAATGTCTCCAAATAATCTCGAAATTTGGCGGCGTTTCGCGTTTTGTCTCCAAATTTGGTGACAATATTTAGTCGCCAAATTCATTGCAAGCTTAGCGATATCTCGCCAAATTAGCGAGACAGCCATTTACTCAATGTTAAATAGACTCGGCCCTGTATTCTTACTTTTCGAGAAAACGTCGTTTAGGTTTTCATGTTATATTATTAAAAAAAAAAAAAAAAAAACTATTTCACATATAATTGAAACTAAAGTCATCTATATATGTAAAAAATTCGTAACAATATGCTCTTATTTATGATACACATATGCTTACAACAAAATGATTGAAAGGTTTTGTAGATTAGTCTGGAAACCTTGTTTGACAAGAATAATGTCACATTTGAAAATTTTTTCGGTATAAATCAATTTACGTCAGATTACTAAAAAAATTATGGTATAAGTAATAATTTCTTATTTTGATTTATTTCAGGAGTGGGCAAAGTTCGTGTCAGGTATAGCCGCATGATATGATTAAGATTATTCAAGAACTATGGCCAGAATATTTTATTATTTTAGAAGTAGTACAATAATTTTTGTCAGAAAGAAATATTTGAAATAAATGAATTAATATTTACGCTTTTAATTTATGTGTTTTTTAATATAAGTAAGTAATTCTTTTTGGCCTTTACTCTGTATTGGGTAAAATACATTCCTTCTCTGAAATTTTATATGGTCATTTAAACACTCTTTTCTCCTCCAGATAAAAAATTAAGAACTTTCGGCTGGTTTGCAAAATTAATTTTCTGATTATGAGTTGTAGAGTCCAGTTAATGAACTTCTGTCTGTATACTGGAGTAGCAGGAAACTACACAGGAAGAGAGTTCACATGCCCTTTATAAACTCTTTAAAATTTACAGTGTGTCAACTCGACGCTAACAAACTTCGCCTCTACTTGAGCGGTAACTGAAAGTCAGGTAATTGAAACTAAAAGTTGAAATGTTAACAAGTGCTGAAACTAGCCTACAGAGATGAGCGAGATACCGAACATAAGCCCCCTTCAAGGCTAGTGGCATCAGATAAATGCAATTAAGCCACTTGAACCAGCAATAATCAAACGTACCTACGGTAGAGACGGCTAGCTAGAGCCTAACTCTCTCTTTGTACTACCGAAACTCGGCTTTTAACTACTTCCTTCAAAATATAAAATTTGCATTCGTTCACGCGCGCTACAACGTTTAACTATTCTGGCACACACAATTAGGGGAATGAAGGCTTATAGGAAAGTTTCAAATAAAACTTTAAATTATTAGTTAAAACAAATATAAATCCCTACAAAGTGTTGAGAAATGTTTTAATAAGCGTAACTTAAGAACAAAAGAAGCGTTCTTACAAAAAAAGTTTTCATTTCAATTTTTTATCTATAAATTATTCACAATTTTCTTAGTTTCGAGAAAGCTTGTATGAGTTATTATTACATAGTTTTTCATCATGACCTCGGTAATATTCTCAATCAAATGAGAGCAAAATTATAGATGTATCTTGATTACAGGGCTAAGATGATGACAGAGCTGGAAAAGAGAGAGCTGACGGATGACAGAGTTGGCAAAGGCATCTGCTATCAACTAATGTTTAACAGGTATAACCCTATGCCGATCCCTACCTAAAACTAGAAGAAGCATCACAGGGTATTTCTATGAGCTGCGGTAATGCAACCTCCTTAGTAATACAAAGGGAAAATTCATTGTTTTCTTAAAAATGCGAGAATAATGAAAGTGAGATAATTTCAGTGTTAAGATTTCTTCGAGCCTGTAGACATTATCGATACATGGATACTTACTCAAATACTAGACTAAAAATAGCATATTTGTTGGTTTGTGCATTAGCACTGAAGGCTTAATGAGTTAAGTTTCTTCAGGCGTAGTTTTCATTAAAGAATCATAAGTCAAAAAAATTAACTACGAAATCTTTATTTAATAAAATAGGAGAATTTTGCTTAACTTAAGCATAACAAAAAGTAATAATCTTCACAGACATGAAAACACTGAATTATCGAAAAGGAGATAACTTACATACAAATATAAACCATACATCTTCAAGCATACCTATTTAGGCAATAAGAAAAAACAGGAACATACTTTGACACGGTACCTAAGGTGAAAGTCAAATATACTGCATTGCACACGAACTTTACTTTCTCTCGCAAATATATATCTTGGCGCACGTTCGTTTCGTATGCCTTTCGAGTTTCATTATGCAAAATACCTAAATTTATGCTAACAATATTGCCTGATATTAAGCATTCAGATGATATATTTGGATGTTTGGTAAAACAGTAAGCATAAGTATGTAAGATCAAAAGTGGTTGCAAAGAAATTATAAATACCCTATAATTACGGTATTTGTGAACAGTTAATATGCATATTTTTACATTCCTTCGACTAAATTACTATATAGATTTCACTCATATTTACCTCGATATAAACTAAATACGCAGATATGCATACTAATGATATAAAGTGCTAAAATATAATATTGTGATCAGTGAATAATGGTGAAATTTCTTGTTATGTCTCACTGAAATTCTGTGGTTATCAGTAATGTGTGATTTGCATTAACGTTTTCAATTGGTTATTTGAGGTAACTTTGAATGGCTGTTTTATATAAGACTTAATACTACTGCTACTGTATCACGCCTGATATCTTGCTCATGTCTTTTAAGCCGCGTTCATAATTTTTGGTCTCAGTGGTTTCTTCTGTGTGAGAAATCATCGATAGCTCCACTTATTTTGGATCAGCAATTAGATATATTATTCTTTGTTAAGAAAGCGAATCGTTATGTAATTTATTTGCTTTCCTGGGGCTCCACACATGCTTTACTTTGTGCTGACATCTCGTATTACTGTACTTTGGCGAAAAAAAGAGCTACTGTGTGTTCAGTAGAAATCATTAATCACCTATAGGAATTGCTAGCTTTAAATCGTTGTTGTTTGTTTGTTTTCAGTTTTAATTGTCCCATTTCGCGATTTCAAAGTTTTACTCAGTTGCTGTTTGCCTTCCAGGCCAGAGGTTTAATCCTCGTGATAATTTTTAAACGTATTGTAGTGTTAACAGTTCTCTGTACTACATACGGCTTCCTGTTAATATAAGGCCAATCTTCCACGTTTATTATTCCAAAGTTAAGTTAGAGTTTAGTTATATTTTTATATCTTACGTTTAGACCACAAGTAGTGGGTCTTGTATTCCGAAGTACGGAAATTATTGTAAAGAGAGAAAAAATAAAGGGTTTTGTATACCCTTCCTGTGTATCCTGTCTACTTCCCACATTTATTGAACATAGCTTTAGTAAGCTCTCTGTTCCGAGTCAGGTCCTTGCATGTTCCCGAAGAAAGTAAGACGGAACATTGAACCTGATAGTGGCGCCCAACGAAGAAGAATAACCATGGCCGAGTTTCAAGAAGAACCTGTGCTGCCTGCAGAAGCGGCTCAGAATCCAGAAATGCCAGCTGCCGCCCTGGAAGGATTTGGTTACATCGTCCAGACCATGCGCGCTTCGATGAAACCAGAAGCAACATTTAATGGAAACTCACCGGTAACCAGTTTTTTGGAAAAATTGGATGACCACTTCATGCTCTACCCCGTGCACGAGTTTCAAAAAGTTACCTTAGCTACCAGCGCTTTGAGGGGCCAAGCGCTTAATTGGTTCAAATGTATAGGCAGAAGTCTCTTGGGTCAAGCAGGAAGTCCCACCTATACTTACGAAAATTTCAAGACTGCCCTAGTAAAAGCCTTCCCTGTCGTAAGGGATCGTGCGAAATTAGAAACGGAACTTTTCAGCATATATCAGCAAAGAATCGAAAATCTCTCAAGCTTTATTTTAAGAAAAATTCACGTCTTCAAACTCTTGTATGGAAACCGTCCGGATCCTGAGATAATTCAAGTGATTTTGCCGAGGTTACTGCCCCAAGTGCAAGACTTTATTGAATTAAGAAATCCGACTACACTGGAAAAGTTATTTGAGCTAGCAATCCAGTTTGAAAGTAGAAGAACGGCGGACATTGAAAGAAGACGCCAATATCAACAGCGAAACCAATTTGGTGCGCCAAGACTACAGCAAACTCAAGCACACGGCTACGGAAGCAAAGCG